CGCGCACACACTTAAAATGTCCACGCGCGCCGCGCTCACATTTTGCTGGGCCCGCGTGCCTTAGCACCGCTGCTATGACTCCATCCTAGGGGAAACACTGAAATGCATGCGGGTCATTTTTGACCCACTTATTTCCTTGGAGTAGAAATACAAAAACTACAATTTCTTAAAATGTAAATTAAAAATGTGAATGGCATGATATCCAAAACATGGAATAGCTGGAATATGAAATGATAAAAAAATGTAATTACAAAGATACTTCAAGAAAACCACCTCACCGGGTCAACAAAGACCCACTCATGCATCTAAGGGTTAAACATGATAAGAGTTATCTTTCCGGAAGTCATGTGACCTCTAGCCCCGGATGTTTACATTGTGTTTGAGTAATAACGTGCCTTTCTACTGCTGGTCTACTAGGCGAACACGTTTTCACGGTGTTTCATTCAAAGACTGTTCAAAGAGATAAATAAATTGTGGACATCAATTCGATGCTTAATGTTCTTTCAAGACCAGAGTAGTTACAGTGACTGTTATTTTGTATATATTGATTGATGTGCTTTTATTTATGTCTAAATGTGTCTGTTGATTGTAGGTATATACATATTTGTATACATATTTGTATATATATTTGTATTTTTGTATTCTGGATTGTGGGAAACGGTATTTCGATCTCTCTGTCTGTTCACACAAACGGAAAGATTGACAATAAAGTTGACTTTGACTAAAAGCGGCATCTCTGTTTCAGTGCCGGTCAAACTCAAGACGCAGCAATTCTGGGAAAATGTTGAGAAATAAAAAAAGTAGTAAATAAGTAACAACTGTACTAATAAAATAGGGAATGACTGTAGAGTTTCACAGTAAAAGCAGCATCTCTGTTTTTGTGGGTAACTACCTATAATGTTTTGGGCATGCATTTCTCGCCAAGATATTATTAAAAATATATTCATGTATTCAGCATTTCAATGGAAAATGTTCACAAATCGTCAAATACGTATTAAACTGCATTCCACATTTACAAAATATAATTGATTACATTCCTGTTTAAAAAGAATCAGTTTAGTTTGAAATAGTCCTAGTATCCTGCTGTAACCGGTTCAGTGTCGCAGTAAAAGCAGCCCCTCTGTTTGTGTCAGTAACATCCTTTGATGTTTTGAGCATGCATTTATCTGGGAAAAGGCTGAGGAATAAAAAAGTGTCAGGATCTTTTTTCTCTTCTGTGATTTCAGCGATGAGAAAATAACTGTATTCTACTTAACGGGATAACATAGAGAATGATTGTGACGTTTCACAGTAAAAGCCTTTCTGTTTCAAAATAACTTCTTGTCAGAATCATACTAGGATGTTTTGGGCATGCATTTCTCTCTTAATAATAACAATTATAGTAGATTACATTTGTATAGCGCCTTTCAATAGACCCAAGGCCGCTTTACATGGTGAACAAACACCAAACAAGAGGGGCAAATAATAAAGTACAAATTGTGACTGTGATGAGTTAGGGGTCAAAGGCCATGGTGAACAGGTGAGTTTTCAAGTGTCCAGAAGTACCAGCACGTTGCCCTAAAGAGACTCACAGCTCCAGGGAAGACTGACGTTGCCGGACAGAGGCGTGTGCTGCGATGGGTTTGACTTGCTGATGGCGCTCAGACGGATGAAACCGTCACTGATGTCAGCTGATCAGAGAGAAAAACACACTGGAGTTCATCTGTTGAAGAATCATTTGACATTTTGTAAAAGGCTAAAATCATCAGACTAAAAACATTTGACATTTCAGAAGAACGTGGTCACGTGAGATGATGAAAAACATTTTGATGGATTTCTAAATATGAGCAATATAATAACTGTCATATGCAATTAGGTTCTTAGTGGTAATAAAGCTTTTTTAGTTTTTATAATTAAAGGTTTTACTTTGCCCGTACATTATGTGTAGAATAGCACGCTGTTTGAAAAACAAACACAAGTAAAATACGACATAGGCCATTTTTATGTAAGTGTGTATTGAATTGTATGTGTCATGTCACAGTTATTGTTATTATCTGTGTTTCTGCGCTGGGCTAATGCTAATGCTAATAATGCTAATGCGAGGATAATAAAATGGCGGTTTCACAAAACCTTTTGGGAGTTTTACGGGACATGGTTTGTATTCAGCCCAGCCAATCAGACATAGGAACCTTTTTCTCCCACGAAAGTACCTGCTCTCTAGCTCTAGCAGGGACGGAAAAGGGGGTAAAAAAGGTTCTGATTCACTCATTTTAGTTCCGGCTCTTTTTGGTGTGAACGCGACATTTTGGAACTATATCAGAACTAAAGTGGGAAAAGTACTGCGGTGTGAACGCGGCTAATGACTTCATTAAGAAGGCATTTCAGAGGGTCTTCTGGAGTCTGTGACATTGTGATCTCACAGTAAACCAGGAGAGGGGGCTATGTCCACATTGTGCTGGAGTCACAGGCTGAGAGGAGATGTAGCTGCACTGCTCCCTGCTTTTTCTTTAGATGTCTGTACAAATAAAAAAGTGAACACTGTATGCTTTGACCCAGTGGTTTCTGTGGGGGAAACCTCTGAAGCAATAGGAGTCAGGACTCAGAGAGACATGAGGAGAGCTGGAGCTCTGATGGAGTCAGGACTCAGAGAGACACGAGGAGAGCTGGAGCTTTGATGGAGTCAGGACTCAGAGAGACACGAGGAGAGCTGGAGCTCTGATGGAGTCAGGACNGAGAACACTTCACTGCCCGCTTCATCGTAGGATTGAAGGCCCTTTTTCCAGTTTAGAGCAATAGCCTGTGTGTGCAGGGACGTGCACAGACATTTGGAGGGGCTATTGCTCTAAACTGGAAAAAGGGCCTTCAATCCTACGATGAAGCGGGCAGTGAAGTGTTCTCCTGTGAGAGGGCGATCAAGAGAAGAGAGCGAGCGGCCCCGTCGAGGGAGTTTACCATGTGGGCAATTACATGTAAGAAGACGGAGAAGAAGAAGAAGAAGTAGTAGAAGAAGAATGAAGCTGGTGTGTTTCCCGCAGCGAGACACTACAATACTAATTGTGGGCTCATCATGTTGATTCGACCACAACAGAAAGAAGAAAAAACCTGTCGCTCTTTCCAGACGGGCAGGTCAGCCAAAAAGGGGAAACGGGCCGTTGCCCGGGCAACAATAGCCGTACCTGTGCACGTCCCTGTGTGTGTGTTTTACCTGATCCGGATGGTTACTAATTCCTTTTCTTTGTGGTGGGAACACCATAGGTGTTACAAAGTTGACTAAATCATCCAAAATTCAATGAAAGTGGTGATCAGCAATTGGATATGTTCAAATGTCTACTGTGAAGGATATCATAAAGCCTTAATGCAACCGAATGTAAAACAAAAAAGTTATGATTGATGAAAATTGTAAATCGGTCAGATTTGACCCGAAGACAACAGGAGGGTTAATTATAGACGCATGGAGAGAAAGTTGGAGCTTATCAGTGAGGTACTAAGTCACCTTACACATAAGTGAATGTAATCTAACACTTCAACAGATTATTTGCACGTTTTTGCTTCAGTGGCTAATTGAATGAGGCAGATTTTACACAGAGGTGATAATAGTCAAACATAGTTTTTTTTGTTGGCCAAGGTGTTGATAAATAAATGGTTATTACAAAAATTGAGGTTAGAAATTTCAGACGTTTGATTAGAAAGAGTCCTTTTTCACCTACAGTAATTTCTACAGCTGGATCATTTATGATTTTCAGACATGGGAGCCTATTTTTTTTGTAATATTAGTTTTTATTATTTGACTTGATTGGTCTAAACATGTCTTTAACACAAACACAATTCTCTACAGGCAGTAAAAAAAACACATGCATAATTAAATAAATAGGTAGATTCATCAGAATCAGAATCAGGTTTATCGCCAGGTAGGTTCGCACATACTAGGAATTTGACTTGATGTCACGGTGCATACATAAAATATAAAAAAAAAAAAAATCTAATATAAAACAAAAAATATTTTACACCGTAATAAAATACAGTTAAATAGCAATACAAATGAAATAAAGCAGTAATTTACATGGAAATAGAATGCTATTAATGCATTTTAGAATATAAACTATGAAATGTGAAATAAGAATATGTGCAGAAAGGAGTATGAACATTGTGTGCATTAATGTAATGCATATAGTCTATGATGTGGCAGAGATGAAGTGTCACTTGGGGGGCCGGGCCTTGTTTAAGAGGCCGGTAGCTGAGGGGAAGAAACTGAAAGTAAAGTTCCATAAGATGTATTGATTTGAAGCCAAACCATCATCTTTCAACTTATCCTAATCAAGTAGTTTCTTTGCGTTTTTGTTTTGTTTTTATTTTTGCACATAGTCACACTCTACTTCTATTGGCTAGCGCTCCAACAAAGTGTACATGACAGGCTAAGGGGCGGGACATCTCTAAGCAATTGACTAATCACAACAGAGCCGGCCAGCTAACCAATCAGAGCAGACTGGGCTCTGGTTTCAGACAGAGGGTGAAAAGAGGTGCTGCAGCACAGGCAGTATGAGAAAAATAAAGAGCTTTTTGAACATTAAAGCCTGGAGACATGTCACAGTGGAGACACTAAATACAAATATGAACCTGAAATTAGCATAATATGTCCTCTTTAAAATGAATGCATATAGAAATCAGACCACCAGAATCAACATAAATGTTATTAAGTGTAAGAGCAAAGGCTTGTGAATTAGCTGTCATAATCCGCATAACATATACTGTACAGATAATATGTTAATAGCAGGTGTGAATGGGCCCTAAATGTCAGACTGCCTCTGCCTCTTCTAAATCTGTCTGCCCCATTATGAAAGCAGCACTACAATGTGGAGTACCACTCAAATTTCATGAACAGTGTTTCTCCCTAGCAAGTGGAAAATGGATGAGAGCTTGATTCTATCTATCAAAAGCAATTTTTTGATACAGCACATTACCAGTGCATGGTCGGTGTACCATTCATATTTCAAACCGTTTCTGTGCATTTCTGATTCAGTAACTAATTGGAATGGAAATATATGCATCATTATGTTGCCTCAATTTGATTTCCCTTCACTTGCCACCAATTTGTATAATAGTCTCATATCTCCATACCTCAGCCATCACTTGCTCCCCATTCTTCAGCCAGCTGTAGGACGGTTTGGGCTTTCCATTTGCCTTGCACTCCCAAAAGAGGTTTTCTTTGATGGACAGAGCTGTGTCCGTCATTGTCTGGAGCCAGTGAGGTTTAGCTTGAAATAAATGAGAGGATTACCTTTTCAAACATGTGTTTTAATTATAGCAGCAGTGGATTAGTCAAGAGTGGTATCAGAAATCATGAAGCCATTAATGCAGCTTTCAAAGTGGATTATCAGCCTAATGAGGAACACATGCTGGTAAATAGATTTTAATATTGATTGGAAATTCGCGGCCTGTAATCTAATATACACTTTTTACTTTTTAGAGCGTGGATCCATAGCATGTAGAGAAAAGTCATGGTAACATTATGCCCCGCACGTCTTAGACAAATAGGTTTTCTGTCAAACAAACAAGATTAAAGCTGCAGGGGACGTCCACGTTTCCTGTACGTACACACCCAAATTCATTCTCAATTTAAAATGGTTCACTCACCATGGAATGAGATCCGACCCCGTGCAGCGTTTTTGCCTCGCCGATTCTCTGCCATACATTCGTACGTCCCAGCGTCTTCCTGCTGTAAATTGGGGATTTCAAGGACGGCGTTTGAATTCTTCATTTTCACTTTGCTGGGGAAAGGGATGCCGCTGGTTCTCCTCCAGCTTATTTCTGGGACAGGGCTGCGAAAAAGGCGATCAAAAAAGATTCCCATGAAGGCGTCTGTCAGTCTCAGTGATTGAACTGAGTGTCTTGTCAGTTATTGTTCTCCAAAAATCTAACTGTGATTGCTCTGATTAAGAAGCTCTTTAAGGAACTTTGATTTCTACTCCCTTGTCGTGTCATGCTACGGCCCTCGCTCTCGTGAGAATTGATGAATCTGAGAATGAGTAATGTTACGCTTGTGCATCCTTAAATCATCTTGAGTAGCGCTTATTCATGCATGAATGAGCCTACAGCTTATGTCGCACACACAATGAGATTCACTTACTTTCCCAGAGCGAAGCATTCTAGTTTCACCACCGATTCCTTCGCAGCTGGAACCGAATCAGGGAAATGAACTTCTATTTTGGGTTCATATTCGCCCATTACTCCTACAAAAGTGAGACAACAGACGACAAGCTTTTTACATCAATGATTAACGGCGCAGATTATACACGTGTTGGATCAAAGCGAGAGCAGTAACAGCGTGGGACAGCTAACACAGAAGTCTCGATGCATGCAGAGCAAAAGTGACCCCCAAAAGGGCTGGTGAAGAGCAGGAAAATCAGAGGTGGCTTATAAAAGATTCAGGGAACACATCAGGGAAAATACTTGCCTTGTAGAGAAGCAGGTCCTACCATCTTGTTGAAATATATTAAAAAGCAACAACTGTAATACATCAGGTTGAGCGATTAACTCTACCGATGTTGAAATCACAATTTAAGAGAGAGCTATTTTCAGGTTAGGGTTCCTGAATTAGTAATGCCATTTCAAGCTGATGTAAATGAAACTAAAAACCATTGATTTTGCTGTCTATATTGATAACTGTCACTGTTAAATAAAATACTGATCTGTAGCTGATTAACACTCGTTTTTTTTTTTTTGCCATTATATCATTTTGTTCTGTTCATCTGAAACAAGAAGCTTTTGTGATTGGTACAATCTTATCTTGTTTAGTGCATCAATTCAGGCCTGTCATTTAATGTATAAAATATAATCACAATTTAAATTGTCCTTTATAATAAATTGTGACCTAGAGGTCCGTAAAAACAAAACAATTAACAGTCCATGTTAACCTTGACGTCACTGACAGCTACTTGCCTATGTAATGGAACTCTTTTGACCCACAATTGGAAATATACTAAAATAAAAATGCAATATCTGAACCCCTTGGCTCCGAGTTTTTGAAGGGGGTTTTCAATGCTGAATTCTTGCAGTCCGATAAGCAAGTTCAGAATGGATGTGTTGTTAAAATATGGCGTCTACGACACATTGTTTCACAAGTAATACACTCGGAAGCAAAAGCTCAGATATTGCATTTCAGTCAGTGTTCCATCTATTTTGCCCTCAATATGAACTGTTTGCTTGTATTCAATCAAAGCCTGCTCAAACGTAATTGATCAATACAACTCGGACAACAAACGGAAACCAGAAAGCTTCTAAAATCGTATCCTGTTCTAAGATCTTAAATGAATTCTTTATATTTAAGTCATTTACCATCACTTCTGAGGACCAGTGGTGTTGGAGAGCTGAGCACCTTCTCCTTCGAGACGGTGTTGTTAACCACACAGGTGTAATTGCCAACATCTGAGGTCTCCACTTTAGCGATGTACAGACTCCCGGTCTCTTGAGAGATGAATCGCCTGCTGTCTTGCTGGACAAAGTACGGGTATTCATTGAAGATCCACGCAAATGTCAGCTCTGGAATGGAAAGAAATACAATTTAACTTAGAGCTAAGGTTTTCTGCTGTCATTGCTCTTTTAAAACTGATACCACACATAGAGCTGGGACACTTGAACCGAAAGAAGATACCCAAGTTTTATGGGCTCAGAACAGTCTCATAATACACACATGCACACAGAGGGATTCACACTTGTATTTCATGATCCGCAAAAGGATTCACACTTGTATTTCCGGATCCACACTTGTGTTTTTCAATGCACTCACAAATGTGTTCCGTTTCACATGTAAATAAAATCCTAACACAGAAAAAAGTTTTAATCCACACATATTTGTTTTCCGTTTAAATCCCCTGAACCTGCAAACACAAACCGCTTTCTGTGCACGGATCGCTGTGCATTCGTGTGTGGGTTTTTTGAGACTCCCCTGACGGTCAGCCGATTCGTACTTGTAATTTTTTCTATCTATAGCCAATCAGATGTCTCCTCAATTCTAAGCCAATCACATGAGCGCGCCCCCACGAGGGTAGATTTCTNCTTAAAAAGCATTAAAAGTTGATAAATCAATTTAGCGAGAATGAAGGCTATTAAAAAGTATCAAAGGGCATTTCCCAAGGTATTACATTTTGTAGCTTGTTTCCAATAAGTATATAAATTGTCCAAAGAGGTTGTATTCTACAGTGTGCCTGAATGTAATCATTGCGTAGGTGTGTAGTGTGATTCTGTGTAGTTTATTTATGGCATCCCGTTGGATTTGACGTCATCTGAACAGGACATCGCACGCTCACTGCTTGATCGCACGTGAAGGTCCGTTTACGCCGGTTGTTAAACAACATCGTTATGGGGAAATGCAAGTCTGCGTCCAAATGGTTGGAAGATAAGGAGGAAGGACAATCAATACTGTATATAGTCAATGTGAGGTCAAGTGTGTCGCCAAGGTAACCGGTTAAAACAAAAAGCGGCGATGAGGTCTTAGAATGTATGGAAAGGGTTTTGATTGATTGATTGATTGATTGAAACGTTTATTAACAGCTTGTATATTGGGTACAGTACAGTACAGCTCAAAACATACAATTGTTAAGGGGATGCAGACCAGAGAAAGACTTTCGTCTTGTTTACATCAGGGTCCCCCATTTCCAATTCATCATATCATATAAGACATATTTGACATACAGATGGCTTATTTACAATTTTCATTTTAGATTTCGTTCTAATACATCCTAACCGGACATTTAAGACATACCAAGTCTACAGATATACAGTTAGTAACAGAATCTAAACTGCGAGTATATACATAGATGGGGGGGGAAGCTGTCCATTGTACGACAGGTTGAGATTTGTACCATTACCGGAGCCAGTTTTGCAAAGCTCTCCCCCGAAGGAATCTTAAAAAAGGTCTTAAAAAGGTATTAAATCTGACTTCCTGCATGTACCCTCTTGATGAAACCCTCTTTAATGAGCGATACATTGAAAAATCTCCACCTCAAGATATTAACATCGTGATGCATCAATAATGTAAATCCAATATTATCATAAAGAACTAACATGGCTATTGGAGAGAACAGACGTTAGCCAAGGCCGTTTCAACAAGTTAAACATAATGTGTGTATTCTAATTGGCACTCTTCCACCTAGTTTCATGAAAAGTGGGCCAGTAGTTGTTCTCTTCATCCTGATGATAAACAGACAAACAAACCAATAGTCCTCAATGACAACCTAACCTCAGACTCTGCTTAATGAAATAAACTGGTCCATTCTGTATTCTACGTACCTTTTATTGTACTGCTTATACACCTTTTCTTAAAATCCTCAAATAAATAAAAAACTAATGTGTGTTTTTTCACAACCTGGTGTTACTACTTTATCTTAAGTAAAAGATCTGGCAGAAAAACATTATTGAAATTGCTCAAATTAAAATTGAATTGACCTTCTGACTTTCCCCACTTCAGTACATTTATTTTAAAAGCCACGGGATAACAGCTCCTGGCGTTCAGTCTTGAACAATGTCTACGGGTCTCTGTGTCCTTTACTCTTCCGTACATTATCTATCATTTTGGATAAGTGGATGGCGAAAAATCTTTGTGTCATAAAATAAATGACTCCCTGCTATTCCTCTCGCTCAGTGTGTTTGCCAGGGAACGAGAGGGGTGGCATGAGTCAGCACATTATGCAGTACACTGTGGAAGCACTTTCCACAATTTTACACGGGTCAGTAGTTTGTATTACCTGCACTCACTTCCTGTGGCTGTCTGGTCTCAGAGCAGATGTTTGCTCAACTGCTCTCTGATCCACTTTAGCTGACTGGGTTCAAACAGGGTCAAACACTGAGTCGTGGTGGAGTCACGTATGCTGGTGAGACCAGGTCAAACACTGAACCCCCAAACTCTTCTCTGGGCCACATTTGAAAGGAAATGGAGAGACACTTGAGAGCTGATATTTTCATGGATTGTACATTTGAAGCTGGGACCAGTTAGCTTAGCTTAGCATGTCATTTCAGGGCAGTCTGAAGCTGTCTAAATGGAAAACTCAGTAGCAGCCCCAAATCCAACCAAACATGTTTAATTAATCTGTACAAAAACTGACATATGAAGAGGGCGTGTTGTGGAGTCAGTGGGATGATTTTAATGCCTTACAATAACTGCTATCTCAATATTTAGTGGAGAACTGGTGATTAAAAATTAAAGCTGTTATTTTATTGGAAGCAAAGTCCATAGCAGGCTTTCTCTTTTTTCTAACCCTCACTAAAAAGGTGATGAAGTATCCAGAAGTCAAACTGTTAATTTGTATCTACAAGCTATCTACAGTAACTATCTCCGAACCCTAATACCTTTATTCTTTGTCATTCTTTCTTATATGTATTTTAAAGGAAATGGAGAGACACTTGAGAGTTGGATAAAAAGCAGATATTTTCATGGACTGTACAAATTGCTCTCCGGGCGCTGTGCAATAGCTGCCCACTGCTCCTGGTACTAGGATGGGTTAAATGCAGAGAACACATGTCACTGTGTGTGCTCTGTGACCATTGAAGAGGGTTTCATCCCTCCAATTCTATTTGAAGCTGGGACCAGTTAGCGTAGCTTAGCATGTCATTTGAGGGCAGTCTGAAACTGTCCAAATGGAAAACTCAGTAGTAGCAGCCCCAAACTTAATAAATGAACATCATGTATATTATTTATTTAATCTGTAAACAAATCTGACATATGAAAAGGACGAGTTGTGGAGTGAGTGGGATGATTTTAGTGACTTACGATAGCTGTTTATGCTAAAGTATCTCAATATTTAGTGGAGAACTAGTAATTCAAAATTAAAGCTGTGATTTTATTGGAAGCATTGTCCATAGCAAGCTTTCTCTTTTCTAACTCTCACTAAAAAGGTGATGAAGTATCCAGAAGTCAAACTGTTTATTTTGATCGACAAGCCATATCTAACTAGCTCCGAACCCAAATAATTGTTGTATTTTTCATTCTATCTTCTATGTATCCCAGGGGTGAATTGGGTAATCGTCCTGGATCCATGACAACATTGTGGTATTAGGCAAAATAAACATGTTTTCTTTCTAACCAAAGCAAATGTCAAATGCAGCACATTTTGTGGGATGCAGAAATCAGGCAAGCTTCACAGAAAACCGCCTCTGCTTGCACCGAGTTCCTGGAACAATTGGTTTTAGTGCAAAGGTCTCTGCCTGAGGCTAACTCTATTGATCTGAACCACTGTTATGAGACATAGACAGAGAGAGAGAGAGAAACATTGAGAGCCTCCCTGGCACACTGATGTTTCCATGGGAATAACAAACACCTGCCGTTGTTAGTCTCGGGAACATTGAGTGTTGTGGTGCGTTGTCTCTGCATGTATCTGAAGTGTAATTGATGTTTTTGGTCAATTACACCGAGCCAGACTGTGTTTATTTCCTCTGTAAACTCTCTCTACTACACTATGAATTATTGAAAGCCTGTGGTTGGTTGTATCCATTGTCGTAGTCGTGTGTTGTTTTGACTTTTGACACTGGGACACAGGAGGCCGTTACTCATCGCTTGTTGTGTTTGACTTGACGCCGTGAAGCATCACAATGAGTTCTTCATCGCCATTGTGCAGCTCTGAATGAGACATTAAACAGAGAGGCTCGATGGGGTTCAACGAGGTCACTGCTGATGATCTGTGTGGCTGTACTGTGGCTTAGGAAACCAGAAATGCAGTATAAGATGGAGCTGCAGTGATCAGTTTGCGTTCATAATTAATTATCTCCCATTTTTTTTGATAATAATTTAATTGTTAAAAAAGTTTTTCATGCACACGTCAGAAAAATGCAGTTTCGGATATAAAGATTTGCTGCTTTTTCCTTTCTGTTTTATATCAACTTAACGGTAAAATGTTAGGAGTTTTAGAATTAAACAACATTGTCTTGGATTTTAGCTAATTTCCAACATTTTATAGACCCTAACAATTGATCTAGGAAGTAAATGGCAGATGTATCTCAGCACCTGAGTGTCACTTTCAAACACAAACGTAAACCTACACGTACAAAATAAACTAATTCTGACAATCTAGATCTAGATTCGCTCCACATGGACACTAAAGTTGATCTTTAACTACCGCACACACTTTAATCACAGCTCTGTCGTGGACCCACCTGTGTGACATCCATTAAAGCTGATGGCCGTCACTGTGGGGCTCGGATAACATTTCCACTTACCTGCACCTGTCGAAAAAACAAATTAAGACGGATATGTGGGCAGCCTGCCACGCTGATACTTCGGCCTTTCCTTGGAAACCTGCCTAATCATCCGAATGTCGCTGAGTACTACTGCACCTCACACACTGCAGGCCTTTATCTCTGTTCTTCTTACAGTATGAAATCCCTATTGTCTCTCATGGCGACATTATATCGCCCATTTGCTTTTCCTTCTGCCGATTCTCTCCTCTACCTTTGGCTTTATGTTGCTGCCAGGACCAGGCTTTATGAGGCATATTCAATTGATGAGATTCACTTGTTGTTGCAATGGCATTGACCCTCGACTGAGTATT